AGCCTCTGTTCAATGAAAAGGTTGTAACAGTAATCATCATTGTTTTTTTTCTTTTATCAAAGCATTTAAGTAATTATTGTTGGTTAAGTTATCATTTTTACATAGTATATATTTAATTTTCATGAATTCATATGACTATTTAAATGTTATGGTGTGGCAGGTTAAGAGGTAACATTAAGCACATGTCAAGTTGATTTAACTAAACCATCCAGTATTACACAAGATGACTGTTCTCAGTCAGTGGCTGCTGGACATTGGTCTTGATTATTTCCTCTGATTTATGTTTGGGGGGTCTTTTAGTTTTGGTTAGAGTTATACAGTGCCCTATCTGGATATTTTTTACTTGTTTGTCCTAATTGAATAGTCGCATAAAAATCTTTCTTGTGTTTTACATTAAATTATCTTGACCTTTATACTAACTTGTCTGTTTTTCTTCTACATCATGGGAATTTTGTAACTAAAACAGGTAACACCAACTTTGGTTCAACAGTTTATTTCAAGAGGCTAAACTAGTAATAGATAACACTGATAAAAATGTAGAATTAGAATACATAGCTAAGATCTATAACATTCTTAAAAACTGGTTTGATTATTAGGTTGAGTCAAACCATCTGTATTTTAAAATCAAAAAATTGAATTTTTACAAGAAAAATAAGCTCATAGATAAACTTGTACAATGTCAGTGTTGTTAGTAATTCTTACATGATAGTTAGGTACTCCTATAATAAATGTTTTTTATTTGTTACAAGATAGAATAATTTGTGAAATCATATGATCACAAATTTGCATTGGAGCTTATACCCACACGCTGTTCTCTGAAGTTGTCTCTTTTTAAACACATTTATAAAGAAAACTTGCATGTTTTTGTAAGATAGGATTCAAGTGTGTAGGAGATGAATTGATGAATGGTGTCTGTCCTTCATTAACTGAATCATAATTCATCACATAGTTGGGTGTAACTTGAGGAAATACTTATTAAACCCTAAAATAATGGAGTGCTTGCATGTGTGAGTTTGGATATGTGTATTGTAACAGTCCAGATGACAGCTCCTTTACTGTTGTGAGCTAAAAGTCCAGAGTATTAGTAGAGATTTTACAACCTGATTTTTTGATATGTGCTACGGAGTGATACCTGGGATCGAAAGGTTGTCATATGAGGAAGGTTAAGGTCTCTGAAGTTGTTTTGTCTTGAAAAAAGAAGAGTTAGAAGGAATCTGATTGAAGTGCTGAAGATTATTAAGGGAATTTGTAGTGTTGATGTCTCATCTTATTTCGTACTTAATGGTGAGATTGGTAGGATTAGGGGACACTAATATAAATTTGGGTAGGGTAGGAGTCATTTTCAGCAGAAACAATTTTATTTTTATGACAGGGTGGTCGGCCTTTAGAATGGGTTGCCTTCAGATGTGGTAGATGCAGTTAATATAAATGAGATTAAGGGAAGACTTTATAAATATTTTAATAATAAGGTTTAACTTTGAGCTTTTGTTTTGTTTAATAGTTAAGTGGATGGGACAACTTAGGTGGACCAAAAGGTCCATTGTTGTCCTTAAATGTTAAGTAGTTTCAGTGGAACTTTAGGCAGAAGAAGGCCTCAGTATAGAACATGAAATGTCATCTCCTTTTCTTTCAACATGCAGTTACAATCCATTAAAGTTTTCAAACCTAAATATTATGTATGTGTCAAACATAAAAAAATTACTGAGTATACAAAATTAGTACAGTTCTCTCACACAAAGCAACATTGTTAGTAATTAAACACATACATGGAAATTTATTGTTAAAATTTCAGTGTTAAATTAATGTATGTATATGTAATACCTATTTCTATCAGCCAATCAAAGACATAGATAGTGACTTGTGGGTTTGACTTGGGAGCAGTATTGGACTAGTGATGGTAGCTTGATCTTTAAAAAAGTGCCTTAACACTAGCTTAGTTGGTAGAGCACTTACGTGGCAGTCTACACACACAGTAAAATATAAATTATTATACTGTGTTTCTGTAAACATGAGAGTTTATGTTATTTGAGTTAAATAAACATTTAAAGTCGAGGTCACTGCAAGAATATTGCAATAAGTATGCACCAGTGAATGACTTTAAGTAGTGAAGTTATTAAAGAAAGATAGTGCTAACTGAAGGTTGGAATATTTCCAGAAATAGATAAGTAATATCCAGTTATCTATTCTGCACTATGCATGTACATGAATGTTAAAGGTTTGATTATACTGTGCATATTATACATTTAAAGTAGTTACTTTAGTGATTATAAAGTGTTCTAAAAAATTTTGATCAACAAATCTAGAATAAATAGAAGTGCTCCATTATTAACCTTTTTTTTTTTTAATGTATTATGTTTTTGAGTTACATGCATTTTCAACAATCACTTTTTGGTGATGCACCCTTTTTTTTACCAGTTGTTTGCTATTTCCATGGTGACATCATGTCTGTAGAGGGCTCTGCTGTGTGTACTAACATTTCAGACAAGTAGGGTGGAGAGTTTCACAAGTTCTAAAATTAGAACTCAACAGTTCCTCCATCATCCTTCTTTGCATGTGTGGTACAACTTATATCTTAGAGACTGATCACAGCTCTTGTAAGTACTTGAAACGTTGTTTTTATTGTTTTCAACATTCTGTTGGCCTTTTCTAAATTTTAAAATTTAAATTATTGTAATCTTTTAGTTATATATTCATACACTTTCTAGAGATTGTAGTAATCTTGTCTTTCGTTATGTCTGTTTTCCTCCTCCTCCCCCCATCTCACATATTTCTGAGTTTCTGAAATATAGTTCCTTTGTTGAAATATTTTTTATTTTTGCTTTTAAAAAACTAACCTTTTTACTTGCTACAGTACTTTTGAATTTTTTCATAATGTAGACACTAATTTGTACTTCCTTATATATTAACTCTTATGAGAAAAAAAAACCTATTTTATTAGCTATAGTAGAAGGTGAATTATAGTACCAGAAATGTTATTTGTGTGATGTTATTCATTCACAAGATTGTGATTGTCATTTGGTTTACCGTAAATACAATAGAATATTTCCAGTAAATACAGAACCACTGTCAATATTTGTTCTTTTTCGACAGTTGAATCAATTCTCACTAATTGTTTTATAAGAAGTTATAAAGAACAAACTTAGAAGATCGAAAAATATTCTCTTTCATGTGTAATATTTAGAGTACCAAAGTTGTAGAATAGAATATAAACACATAGATTTAAAAGATAAGTATTCTATATGTCACTTGAACTAAAATGGAAGTAAGCTATTGTTCAAAATGTGTGTGCAGTAAAATCAACTTTAACAGACATATCATTTTGAAAACACCATATTGTAAAATGATCAGTTTTTGTCTCACAGTATCATCGTTTAATAAATTTACTGGAACACTTCTAGGCTGCCTTGTTAATAAAATTAGGTATGAGAAGGAATAAAAAAAAGAGAACTTGTAGCAAACAACAATGAGAATTATGTTCATTTGGGCATTATGGGAAATGTCTCCTGCATTCTTTTAGGGTCATTAACCATCTTATATATATATATATATATTATCTGTGATAGGACTAATGCATTAATAATTGTCAGACCCAACTTCACCAGACTTTTAATTTTAAACCTTTCTGTTTTGTTGTTTTCAATCTTTTAATATATACATTTATTTAGTAAAAACATCATACACGTATAGTATGTATTATTACATGTAACAGTAACAAGCAGGTTCTTGCTAATATTTATTTACATGTCACACACAGTGAAAGTTGTATATTTTTATGGCTGGTCACAAATTTCACACGTACGTTACCCTACATCCAGCTGCGTGTTAGTGGTGGAATTTTTGCTGCATGAAAGTGTTTGAAACTTGCACATTTATCCATGAATGTGCAAGTAGATTTTTTGAGCTGTATGTAGAAAGTGACACATACAGAAGTATACATTTATAATTAGCTTTATAGACTGTGTGTGTGTGTGTGTATACAATCAGGCACAGGGGAGTGTAGGTTATGGCTGTTACTTCTGTAGACTATGTCCATGATCAGGCAATGAGAAATATAGGTGGTGATTGTTAGTTTTATAACAGTGATACAGGATGACATGAGGAGGTTGGACAGAATTCTTGAAAACAGTATGTCTTTCCTTTCAGTATTGGTACCTCTATGTATTTTTATTGCACTTTTAATGTTTATTATGTTAATAAAAAAAAAACAGAAATACAATTTCCTATTTTTTGTTTTTACTTCACCCATCCAACAGACGACTATTTCAGCTAGTAAAGCAATAAACTTTAAGTAGAAACAAATGTAGACTGTTATGAGCTTTAAGCTATTTAGGATAAACAATTGTTGTTTCCTGTTACAATCTGCAGTCATACTAGAAAGAAAAGAAAGTAGTCTAGATTTATTTCATATTTTTTTATGGTAATCATGAGGTCAGTCAAATTGATCAAATGCATATAGTTAGGATAGACAAAATAACAAATAAAATAGAAGTTTTTATGAAAAAGAAAACATTTGATATTTAATGAGGAGGTTTTAGAGATTATGCAAATATTATGCAAATGAATTTTGACAACTTTCAGTTGAAGAAAAGTATTTTAAATCTTAACCTGGAAATCACTTTGCACTCAGAGCAGTCAACAATTTGACTCCATATATTCAAATAGAAATGTTAAGTAAAAATAGTTAATAAAAAAAAATCTGATTTATTGTGTACAAAAGACTTGTAATGTTTACTGAAAGCTTGAGAATTTCTTGAAGATACACAAAACATATTGAACATTATAGTATGAAACTATGATGGTCACTTTGAGGTCACAAAGTTGATGTTTTATTTCATGTGATCCAAATTTTTGCTTGTGACTGCTGGTTTTCTAGTAGTTAGCTATAATCTTACATTAATAAAAATATATTATTCTGTTTGTCTTTTTACTGTTGATTAGTGATGCATTGTGTTTCCCATGGTTAAGGTATTTTGACAAATATGTTTTTCTTACCATTTCAGCTGATATCATGTGGAGTGTTTACATTAAAAGAGGGACTCCCATTACTTGGTAATCTACTGACCATTTTAACTGCTACGGACAAAGAAGAGCACAACAATATTAATATTCTTCTGAGTTTTTGTAAGCACTGTGGGGAAGATTATGCTGGATTGGTGCCTCAGAAAATGAGAAATCTGGCTCAGAAGCATGGACTAGAAATCCCTAAAAGTGATGTATGTTCTGTTTAAATTTAAGTAATTCTTGTGCTTCTCATAGCCAGCCTGTTAGACTTGATTGCAGATTAACAGTTTTATTGATATTACTTGTATTCTAAAATAGCTTTACAAGTAGATTCAAAATGTCTTACAGGAATTAATATTTTTTTAAAAAAAAGATATGTTGTGAATTTCATTTTTGCACATTTACTTTATTTTTTTCTGTCTTTCTTGATTGTCATATATAATTATTTGATAGTTAAACTTTTTTCTTAGAGCTACACAGAATTTCACAAATCCCTTGGTCCTCTCGGACAACAGGTCAGAAATTGTCACGGTCTGACATGTCTTTTAATACTATTAGACCTTCAGTCCTGCATGTTTTCAAGTAGACTTACTATACTTTTGCTAGAATAAGTTGAGTATCTGTGATTTTCACAGTTATTTCCAGATAATTCTTGACAAGCATTTACTCATCTTTTTCCTCAAGACTGCAGTCCGTGTTTCTCTTTACATATAGAAATGAATGTTACGTTTCCCCCCGATTAGCTGATTATTTTTAATGTAGTTTATGATATTCATGATAAGACAAGTCACTTGGTATTCTATTGGTTACAAATAGCACTGGAGCAAAGCTGGGGGTAAAGAGAAAATCTTTGTCAGCAGAGGATGGTAATGTCAGTAAAGAGAAACAGAAATGCTATGAAACTATGAGAAAGCCTTGAACTTTCTAGAATAAGTGGGAAAAGGGTCAGAAAATGTGGCTCACTTTTCACAAAGAGCAAGGTGTTATGAAGTGGACTACTTGTATTGAAATTTTCTGTGATAGTGTTAATCCTGAGAAATCAAACCAGGTTTACCATAGATAAAAGCATGCCTTCATTCTTGAGTATGATAATTTGAGAATTAATACTGTAAATGATCATGAAAAGACATAAATGCATAAAGATGCAATGACGAGAATTGTGGCCAGGGATAAACATACAAGCACTATTGCCAAAGAAACTCATTTCCTTATCAGAACACAATAGGAAGTTTTGAGAACTTAAATTTAGAAATATACATGCAATAGTCAAAGTAATCACCCACTCAGTCACTATAAATGGCTCAATGAACTTGACGTAACCAAGGGATTTGACCATGGGCAAATGTACAATAATCATATGTCAGCATCATGCTTCTTTGAAGTAACTGCACAGGTGGAGAGAGAGAGAGAGAAAACTTTGAATACTTTCAAAACCCTGCATATTTCGGTGCCTATATCTGCCATATTGAACAGTTATAACGATAGTGCCACAGATACAGACTGTTGTACAGGTACTGATTCTGACACTGAAATGGGCGAGAGTAAAGGGAATGTGTGTTGGTTTGAACTTGGAGGGAAATTGAATTAGAATATGAATATACAATTAACATCTGAATTAAATTGTTTTGTTTTATCTTTTCAAGTCTTCTGTGTTATTACTTCATTCAGGCTGCAGTCTAATGATTATCATTGCCTATTAAAGTGAACAATATTCGATTATATAAGTTTTATTATTCGATCCACCAAAATTTTAGTCGGTCTACCAAATTTTCAATGACCAATGAACTGAATGTCCACCAGAACTTTTACAGTTTTGGGAATTTCTGGCTACAGTGTTGTTAATAAAATTTCAATTTATTTTTTATGCAACAAATATACAATGAAGTACCTACTGACTATTTTTTCATAAGTACTAGCTGGTCTCAACTGGTTTACTTAAACATATTAACACATTCTTGTGCTAGAACAATTACTTGATATTATTAAGAGGGTATGTTATGTAAAAAAATGTATTATTTTAGTGATATCTTTATCATAGATTTTCTTATGCCCCCACTGCAAAGTTCTACGGAGGGACATGTTGATTTCTCCTGTCTGTTTGTCTCAATCTTGTAGACAGCATGTATCTAAAGATTGGATGGATGGATTTTAACCGAACTTGTACAATGCATACAAGGTTCTAGACCTGAATAACTTTTGATGGTCATAGATTAAAAGTCAAGGACAAAAGATCACTAGTCCATAGAAAATCTGCCCCAATTTTGTGGATAGGTACTATACCATCAAATTGGGGGAACTTAAACATGCAGTGTAACAAGATGTTTCATAAACATATTTTGCACTTGTGTACGTTTGCTCTTTACCTCTAATTAAAATTCAGAATTGACCATTTTGTTTACTATTATTATCTTTCAGTTATTATGGATATAAGTTTGGTTTGTTTTAAGACTTCATTTAAAATTTCCAGATGTCTATACAAATAAAAGAATGGTTTTTTTATTATTATTATAAACTTTATGTATATTTTAATATTTCAGGATAAAAGCATAATTTTGATAATATTGGGTTAAATTCTATTTTGATAGCAAACTTTGTTAGGATTTCAGAGTTGAGAAATTACATAAAGTAATTACCCATATATGGGAATCCTTTATTTTTAATATTTTCTTAATATTGGAAGGTTTGTTATAATTTTTTGTTTTGTATTTGCTGAATAATTTTTACTATTCTAGTGCTTTGGATATCCTGTAAACATTCTCTAAAGTTATGTAGAGAAATGACTACTTTAATTTGTATATGTTCATTGGATAAGACTGTGTTTTGGAATGCAGCTTCAAGATATTAACAATTGTTTCTAACAACTCAATGCACTTAATTTCATAATTAAAAAAATGCATGTTCTTAATAATATACATTTGGCTGACAAAATAGATGAAATGAAGACTGACTTACCCCTTTAATTTGATAATTATGTTATACATCTGGACAGTTCACTAAATACATGTGTAGTTTATGTAAAGTTTTTATTCTTGTAGTTATTGCCCCCAGATCGTCAGAAAGGCCTTCGTAATCTGCTGAAAGACTACTATAGGTCACTATGTCGTCACGTTGTGAAAGATCAAAAAACACTTCATAATATGGAGCAACACAACCGGAGAATATTACAGGTATGCTAGATGAATAGAAGAATCTTTCGTGATATTGTTTTCAGGGTAAGCTTGAATCTAACCAGCCCAATTGATGATGTGGTACTTTATTGTGTATTGGGTAAGAACAGAAAATGTCTGTTTCCTTTGATTATCAAACATGTTTTAAGATATCTACCATAAAGATTATTAGAGGTTTTGTTTATTGTTTATTAAATCTGTCTTAATTATTTTTGAGTTCTCTGAAGGCTTCTCGTTTACAAAGGTTAAGAGATAATTTCCATTCTTTTCTCGCACCTACTTTTCATCTTTGAATCACTTTATTTGAAACATAAGAAATGATAAATGGACATTTAGGATTAATATTATTAAGTATCAGTATTTGTTTTTATAATACATTCACACAAGTAGGACGTTTTTAATCAGCAGTAAAATAAAGTTTATGTATAAAAGTATGAAAACTTTATACTTTAAAGGTGACATTAATGTGTTGTATTGAACAGTTAGTGTTAAAAGTAATTAGTTCAGATGTTTCTGGAGTATATGATTTTGTTTCTGAGTTTGACACTGTAATTAAAAATAAAATGTTCTGGTATACAGTTTTGTTTATCATAACTTGAATGCTTGATTTTCAAAGCAGAGACTGTGTATTAAGAATGTTACCTGTAGTATAGAACTTGGAGAAATGGATCCTGAAGAGGAGAACTAATGAGTCTTGTATAATGGTATAAACAACTTTCTTGTAAAGTAATAATTTTGAAGTTACATTGTAATGTTTCCTAACATGTTACTTTTTACTTTACCATAAGACCAAAGGTGAATTAAGTACTGAAAGGAAAGAGAAGTTTGAAGCAGCCCAAGTAGCCTTTCAGAAACTCCTGTCCAGTACTCAGCAATTTTCTGTGAGTATGAATAAAAAAAAAATGTTTCAAATTTTTCATGACTTTAACTGTTTTGTTGAGTTACTATTTTTATTCTTTACCATCTTATGTATGTGTGTGTATGTTAGAAGTTCTTTATATTTCTAGCAGAAGTTGTGTTAGAATAAAATGCTAACGTTATTTATTTTGTCTGATAACTAGGATATCATAGATGAAGACCTTCCTGAGCTTCCCAGAGAAGGTAAGATGAAAGTTTGGATGGTTTTAACTGCATTATTTATAAATAAATAGATCTAAAAAATAAAATAAAATATTGCAAATAAAATATAAAAACAATACAAGGTATGAATACTGACAGTAGATGTAAACCAAAGTAATTCTAAAGAACATTGAAGTTGGTAACACTGGTGAGTATGTACCTCTCTAGTAATTAATAGCCAAATTGAAACATGAAGGTAGGAAGTGTTTTTTATTTATGATAACAGTTTTAGTTAATACTACAAAAGTACAGAGGTAAGTAGCTAGATTTTGATTTAAAGTATTTTAATGTATTTTTTGTTGCAGATGTTAGTAGTCAAGACCCAGATGTAGCAAATTTAGATGTACATAACAGATTTAAGGATGGGGAGGTGAGTTAGTTACTCATTGTTTCATTTCTGTGTTTTGTGTTTTAAAATAACACACTAACATTTTCCCAACAGTTTCAAGTCATGAAAAATGATAGAATTTATAAACTTATCTTTATGTTTTAAAAGAGTTAGATTTGCTTCTGCTGAACTATCTCTTCTGTTTATTTTTATCTTTTAACAAGGGTCATCATAGTTTCTGAGAAGTAGTTTACTTTAGGAAGATAGATAAGTTCTGTTTAATTAAAGATGAAATGTTCAAAGATTTACCACTGTCCCCAATTGTCTGCCAACTGTGTATGGAAGAACTTACAAAGGAATAAGAAAAAGTAACTGTAGTTCTGTTTCTTTGGCTTTGCTACTTGGATGACAAATTTACACAAATTTATATTTGGATTTGTTGTTGTTCACCACCATCAGTAAATTCAAGAACTTTGAAGTGCCATATAACGAGTCAAATGAATACGTGATCAAGGTCATCTTGAAATTGAACTTAGCATGTTAACTTCCATCTTTAGAATTAACAATTGTCTTGAGTCTTCCAAAACACACTTACCTCCACTGAAACTATAGCTATTTCTCGATCTCCAGGGTTCCCACTCTTTGCCCATTTAAGCATTAAAAATGCTTGCTCCAGTCTTTTATACCCTTGAATGCCCTTGGCAAATTTTAATTTGCAAAATTCTCCACAAACTTCAATGCACCCTCTATCTAGGTACTGTATATAAGCACCTCATTCAGATAGTGTAATCACTTTTTCTCGACAAAGCATTTGGCACAGGTTTTTATAAACAGGAGTGTTGTGATTATTCACTATTTATGTTGCAACATTTATAAATTACTTTAACAACAGCACAAAAAACCTAACAACGGTATGAATTCCCTAGTTAATATTTATGCTACAGAAGCCAACCAGACCTCTTCTCTTCCACCTCTGCTATCTGGTGTTTATCAACGACCAGGGGATGGGTCACTCTCAGTCGAGGCTGTCAGTGATATGATCCATTGCCAGATGGAGACATATATGAGGACTAACGGTGTGTTTCTTTGGGGGTTCGGAGGCGGTTTCTGCCCTCAGGGAGTTACGGGAATCTTCTTTTCTCCATCCCGTGTTGTTTGCCAGAGTTACAGAGACATTAAAATATACAAATTGATTTAGCTTGTTTACATTCTTCTTTATTGGCCTCTCACCTTTCTGGCACTAATTTGGGAGTGTTGGCTCATAGTGTTTCCCAACTCCCTCCTTCATTTCCCAGTTCTGTTGGTTTCCATAATAGAGTTCGCTCATATTTTCGAGGATCTTAGCTTGGACGGACTATTGACAATGGCATCGGTGACTAGCACATGGGCAGTGGAGCAGTGGGAGCATGATTACTCACTTTCTGGACATCTGGAGTTCTTTCACCAGGGATCCATGGGTACTCGATGTTCTAGCTTCAAGGTTAGTCATTCAATTTATATCACCTCCAGCATTATATGCACAACCTGTTGCCTTTTCACCTCCAACAGATCCAAGGCAATTGGAGCTTTGTTCCCAGACCATAAGAGAGTTGTTAGTCAAAAGAACAGTAGAGATGATTGATCGCATTCTTCTGAGATTTTATTCCAGTTTATTCGTTGTACCCAAGAAGACAGGAGACTGGTATCCAATCATCAATCTGTCTCGACTCAACCAATTTTCAGATAGACCTTGCTTTACTATGGACTATTTTCTCAATGCCCCAAGGCTCTGGATGACCAAGTTTAATGTTACCGGTGCTTCCCTAAGGTTTCTCAGATTTATGCACAAGGGTCAGGTGCTGCAGTTCAGGACTCTACCTTTTGGTCTTGCATCAGCACCTTATGTCTCCTGCAGAGTTGGTCGAGTTTTTTCTCGTCATCTGCATTCCATGGGCCTGTGCACACATCATTATATGGATGACTAACTCCTTCTGGCTCCATTCCATCAATTAGCAGAACAACACTCTCAGATTCTCTTTTCACAAGCTACAAAAGCAGGCTTCTTTATCAGACTGGAGAAATCTATTTTGTCACGAATGCAATATCTCGTCTATCTGGGTGTGTTTTTCAATACTCACTTAAATTGTGCTCAACCAACTCCTATCAGGCTTCAAGCCATGGAAAAAGCCATCAGGCTTCTACTTATGTCTCCTTCTCCTATTGCATGGATGGTTCTCTTTCTTTTAGGGATGTGGGCATCCTTTGAGCCTCTCATTCCTTTGGGACAAGCACATATAAGGTCTCTTCAGTGGTCACTGCGTGACCAATGGATCATGCATTTCGATTATCATGTCTTATTACTCAGGAGCAACATTGTCAATTGCGAATAGTGGTTGGATCGGAACAACACTACTATTGGGGTACCCATTCCACCACCTCATTCAGAGATTCATCTGTTCACAGATGCATCTCTTCAGGGATGAGGTGCATATCTTCAAGATCAGGAGTTCCAGGGGATTTGGATGGAAGACAAGTCTACCCTCCATATCAACATTCTTGAACTCCTTGCAGTAAGTACACTGGGCAATAGTTCAAGGTCTGTTTCTCTTAAAGGAAAAATTTGTCATGATACATTCAGACAATTGCACAATGGTATCTCAGATTTCTCGTCAAGGAGGCACACATTCTTGAGACCTTTGTTTTCGTACCTTGGATCTTCTCTACTGGCTCATTCCCATCGTATCAGACTTTTAGCATGTCATGGAGTAAAGAATTTAATTGCAGATCACTTGTCTTGACCCAGCTGGATTCTTCTGATGGAATGGATGCTACATCATGAGGTTTTTCAGTGGATTTGCTCTCACTTCGGGTCTCCAACAATCGATGCCATTGCGACTCATTGGAATTCTCAACTGCAGTTGTTTTGGTCTCCGATACTTCATCCTCAAGCATTGGCAGTAGATGGGTTCAGTCAGGACTGGACAGGTTTACATCTGTATTTCTTTCTCCTGATTTGACTCTATTGCCCCAGGTTCTTACTATGGTTTGTTCCACTCCCTGTCAAGTTCTCTTGGTTACAAAATGTTGGCCAGCTCAAACGTGATTCTCGCTTCTTCAGTATCTGCAAGAATGTTCACCTCTACCTCTTCCACATTATCAGTCTCTGTTGAGACAAAGTCGATCAGACATTCTCCACTCAGATGTTCGGAAACTCAGTCTTTGTGCTTGGAAGTTATTCGATCCTTTGCCTGACATTAGGGTTAACTTCTAAGTATTTAACTAAATCTCTCCGTATGCCAACCATGGCCGTCTATCAACGGAAATGGAATACTTATTGTCATTAGTGTATTAAAAGGAATTTAAATCCCTCTTCATCCTAAAGTATCTAGCATATCCCATTTTTTCACTTGGGTATTTGAGAAGGCTTGTGCTTTGTCTACAGTAGCTTTATATAAGGCATCTTTATCCAATATTTTGCGGTATTCCAAATATTGGAAGTTTTTAGATTCCTCAGTACTATCAGGTCTACTCAAATCCTTTCGTATTCTTCGACCTAAATGACCTTTCCAATTACTAAATTGGGATTTCATGTCACATCTCACCAGATTCGTCATATCTCTATGTCATTAGCCATCTGGTTGAATTACCCTCTGGAAGACATTGTGCAGGCTGGTATGTGGACTACTCCTAATACTTTCCTATCTCATTATTTACATGATCTGGCAGTTTCCACTTCTGCAGGTTTTTGACTACTTCCGGTAGATATTTTGGCCACATCTGTTAGATTTTAACCAAGGGTGAGTATTTTCCTCAGTTATATACTCATTTATTTCCAGGGTCCCTTTATTTTTCACTGGGTCCCACTCTGTGGCGGGGGTTGCCCAGGCAGGTATGTTTTCTCTTTTCAATTTTGCACTGGCAACCACTTTCACTATGTTTGCTTCAAGTTACTACAGGCTGTGTCGAAATGGGGTGTTCCATAAAATCATCTAGGCACCTACCGGATAGTATTACCTAACTATTATAGACTATCATGAATAAAGCTAATAGGGACCCTGCCAATTTTAATATTGAATAAATCAGGGTCAGTTTGTGTTTAAAAAGTGTAGGGAACTTGGTTCACCTATTGCACAATTTCCAGAGCACTGTTCCACAGGACGTCCCAATGCATATTACCCCCATACTCTCTAATTTCCAGTTGCTGGGGTGGCAGATAGAGGCTTTTCCTCCACAGTGTTCGAGTGTATTCCCCCCACTCTTGGAGAAGAGGGTGAAGTTGGGGGCCCTCCTACTCAGATCCCTGGATGTTTTTCCCAGATGTCAGTAGGAGTGGCACCAACCTCTGTGGGAGCCTACTTGTAATTCCAGTTCAGATTTGACACAAAGCTATCTGGTTGGGGGTGCATGGCCCTTCTCTTTGATCAATGTCTGTTTCATATATTGTTCATGGAAGGAGATCCACTATCTCCTCATAATTCTGAATGTGAAGTGGTCCCATCCTAGGTCCTTGGTTGAGCACAGGTTCCACATCCACTACAGAATTCCAGGGGCAAGCGGAATACCTCTTACCCACTTGGTTGAGAAGTGAGGATGAATATGCATAATTCCAAACTGGATGAGTTCTGTTCCTTTGGTTGAGTATGGCATATACGATCCCCTCATTCTGAGCTTGGGGTGTTACTTTCTCATCGTGATTCCAGTGGTGCCAAACGCATCACTCTATGGCTACAGGTTGGGATCTAATCAAATCTATATATATACAACTTTGCAGTCCAATAGTTTATCTTAAAAAAGTGATTACATTATCTGAATGAGGTGCTTATATACAGTATCTAGGTAAAGGGTGCATTGAGTTGGTGGATAATTTTGCAAATTAGAATTTGCCAAGGGCATTTCAATGGAGTAAAAAAACTGGAGCAAGTGTTTTCAATGCTTAGATGGGCAAAGAGTGGAAACCCTGGAGATCAAGAAATAGCTATAGTGTCAGCGGAGGTAAGTATTATTGGAAATACATTTTCAGTTTAGGAAAATGTTAACTTTCATTCAGAGATATGTAAAATGGAAAACGTTAACATTTGAACAACCACGTTAAATGCTACCATTTTTATATTTGGTATGTAAACTTGTAAGCTAACACAGCAAGAGGCTTTGGCATGTCTTAAGGAAGATTGAGATATCCATTATACATTTGTTATCAACAATGTTATTGTCTCTTCATATCAGTATCAAAACACAAATACCACAAATACATCAAAATAATATATTGTACAAAGCAGCATGTGAGTGTAATAAAGTATATATTAATAAAACTGAATGCACTACACGTACAGTCTAAGGACCACATGCTAAGACCATCTCCAGGACTTGACTTTCTGGAACTTGGCAAACTTCTACCATTGAAAAAAGTGAAGATAATTGGTGAAGAAAACCACTTCTGGAAAGGCAAAATTAAGGAAACTCCTTACATAAGAAAAATAAAACTCGATGAGGTCTGAGTAAAGGATTCAGAGACTGACTTTTGATATAAGCCCTATTTCGAATGACCTTTGTTGATTAATTTAGGTGTTTATTAAATTTTTTCAGTATTATGAAATCATATTTTCTTAATATTAAATACTTTTTTTATTTGTGTGATATTTTTATTTATCATTCGGATGCAGCTTTATGCTGACACTGATCCTGAATAAGTCCAGCTGTTTGTTGCTTTTTGGATGTTTTACATTATAAATTTTTATTAAAAATTATCGTATGCTAGTACAGTATGATTTAAATTATTTACATTTATGTATTAACTCTCTTGTTTTTTTCTAACTTCACTACAATATATGTAGTTGGTTTTAATTTTATGTAATTCTGTTTAAATTCTCATAGAAACATTGTTTAAACACTATGCTTTTCTAAACATGTTGTTTTAGACAAAATCAGTATTGTTGTTTTAAACTTTTAAATGTTTGTGTTCTTTCATTGTTAATTAAGCCTGAGGACTTCTCCTGAAGAAGGTTGAAAGCTAGCTCTAGAGAAAAAAAATTATTGATGAAAGATATCAACATCTGTAATTTTTTTATTTTAAATACCTTTTAATTTTGTTTATTTATCATCATATTAAATACTTAAAAGAGAGTTTTAAGGTATAGGTACAGTACTTAACAACATTTTTAATGTTTTATAGATGAGGCTAATAAATTAGTGAAATAAGCTAACCCAAAGTTTATGTTGTAATTTTTTAATCATAATTCTAATAAAGGGATATATACTGATTTCATATTAAAATCTACTTGTTTTATAATTGTTTATTAAATACTTTTCATTTTTCAATCATTATGCTATTGAAATATTAGCAAAGAACCAATGTAGTCAGGTAATGAAGTTCTGATATTTAATGTGACCTTTGAGATGTCAGTCAGCATGTAAATATTCAATAATTAAATATAATGTTTGCTGATTTGTTATTTATCTTAGTTTGAAGGCACCACATCTCTTTGGGAAGATGATGATACAAGAAGTTTTTATGAGAACATACCAGATCTTAAGGCTTTTATACCAGGTGTAAGTCTTCGTTTAATTTTTTCATGTCTGATGTTCCACATACATAAAAGATGAGATGCAGAACAAGAGAATACAACCTGTTTGTTTTCTGTATATTAGTCAAGAAGTATAGTATAACATTAATAATTTTAAAATGTGTTGACTAGCTCTCTCTCTCTTATGTATCATGAAATATAGGGTTTATCATCAATTCTTGCAGTAGAAACTTTTTAGATTTTTTTTCCCCAGTTTAGTAGAATTTAGTGTTTACATTATACAATGTTGAATCACAGGTTACTTCATATGTCAGTTTAAAGTTTTTCCAGTCTTCCAACCTTGCTCCTTGTTTCATATGCTCTTGAAGAATGACAAATGTCATTTTCTTCAATATTTACCTCTATATCTTGGATATTTGCTGTTCTTGTATTTATAGAATAACAGGCAAAAATACCAGTCCTCAGTGATGGGACAAGTTTAAGTTAATCTATCAATTGACGTTATTTCCTGGACTTTAAAAGGGTTAATTGTGTTGCACTCTTGGTTTCAATCAGAGCCAAAGCTCTGAGCTACTTATATCCCACCCACCATGAAAAGTAATTGTTGAGCATTCCAATCATGTTATGAATTGCTCAACAATAACATATGGCAAATCTACACTCTTATTCTCTTGAAGAATGACAAATGTCATTTTCTTCAATATTTACCTCTATATCTTGGATATTTGCTGTTCTTGTATTTATAGAATAACAGGCAAAAATACCAGTTCTCAGTGATGGGACAAGTTTAAGTTAATCTATCAATTGATGTTATTTCCTGGACTTTAAAAGGGTTAATTGTGTTGCACTCTTGGTTTCAATCAGAGCCAAAGCTCTGAGCTACTTATATCCCACCCACCATGAAAAGTAATTGTTGAGCATTCCAATCATGTTATGAATTGCTCAACAATAACATATGGCAAATCTACACTCTTATTCTTTAAGTTGACGTCCTATTTTGAACTGTGAATGATAGTGTGATTAATTCTTAATAATGTAGTATAGAATAACTAGCTTGTGAAATAGAATATGGCATCAAGGTTATTTATTCATTTTCTCCAATCATTTCAAAAGTGAGTGTTGAACTTTGCCTGCATGCATAGCTTTTCAAACACAATGCGGGAAGGAGCCACCGTAAATGGGAGACAGACAGATGGACAGACACAAAGGTTCGTAATATATATAAGATTGCGTTAGCGACTTCTTTTGAAAGCATACATATTAGATCATTCTGCACTTCATGGCTCAAATAATGCCAACGTGCTTCATTGTTGGTGAACCTAGGAATCTTTACCTAAATTATAATAATCAAAATTATTATTATCATGGTTATAAATATTGTGAAATATTAATGATATTATTCAACATTGCTGTGACCCCTGGATTTTGAAGAGGTATACTGCTTCACTGTCATATGCTGGATACTTAAACGTGGCATACTACAATGAACCACTTTATTGTTCAGCTGTATAACTTTGTAGTTTTGCATATACTTTAATAAGGAATGGCAGTTCTGTCCGTAAAGAATGGATATTTTTGTCCAGAAATGAGTTACGTTTTAAAAGAAATTTATCACGAATCAAGAATTTAAAATGTGTTTAAAGAAATAGCGATGTTTAATGTCTAGCTATAATTAAAAGCAACATTCTGTAAAATGTTCAAATTTCTTTGAGGGCAACAGCTGAACCGGACTAAAACATAAATGTCTTTATTGTATGTTACGGAAAGTTAAAGCGCATGATAGCCGTCATCACGTGATTTATGTTATTTTAGTATAGGAGGGGCTTTAAACAGAGCATTCGTAGAAAGTTTCATCACACTAATCTAGATATTCCAAATGGTAACCATTAACCTAAAATGTATATATACAGATACACTCATGATGTTAGGTTCAAGAAGTCTGGATAGAAATGAATAAAAATTTTATAACCCAAGCGTGTTTGAAAGGTGGACCTTTCTTCTTCAGGGGTAAACTGGGAATGTTTTTGACCCTGAAGAAGAAAGGTCCACCTTTAGAAACTGCTCGGGTTATAGGATTTTTATTCATTTCTATACAGATACACACCAGACTTTTAGAGAAGGAAAATGTGTAAGTAAATTTTATGTTATCCCATGTATATATAATGAAGCATAAAGCAAATTATCAAATCTTGGTTATGTCATCTGCTGTAAATTTCTAGAGATTGTTTTTTTGGTTTTTTAATCTGTAGCCATGTGAATTGAAAATTGTTGTTATTCAATATAAACTTTAAAATATGACCTTGTGTGAACTTAAGTTAGTATTTAGTTATGTGTCTTAATCTATTCCATGTAATAAGCGTTACTGATTACTCCAAAGTTTCAAGTTTCACCAAAATAAACGTTAAGCACATTCTGTTAGCTTTTCTTTTTTTAAATGTACAATAACTAGAAAAACTGCATTACAAAATCTTTTCAGTTCTCTAACATGCAGTCATCCTTGCGTATAGTGATAGCAGAACAGATAGTACCCCTGGTGGTTTTTACATTGTTTGTTTCTAGTTAAGTACAAAGCTGCACAATGGAGTATCTGTGCTCTGCCCCCTATCGGTATCAAACCATTAACAAAACCATGCAAAAAAATTATGTATATATATATATATATATATATATATATTGTTTTGTAATAATACTATTTAAATTTACTTTAATTTTCTA